TTATTATTATTATTATCATCATCATTGTTATTAACTTAATATTATCATGATCATTGTTACTCACGTTGGGGCAGATGAGTGAGGGCCGCAGGGTGAGGTTCCTCGGGAGAGAGGCCTGGGCTCTGTTGTGGCTGAGCGGCTCACAGGGGCGGTCGTGCACGATGTACACGCAGAACTCCTCAAAGTCCTCGTCACTTAGTTGAGTAAAATCCCAGCCGCTCTCCATGACATCTGAGGCAGAAAGGATGAAGCAATTCATTTGAGGCATGATATCGTGGTGAAATTGGGCGCTTGTTGAAATTGTGAAATCGAAGAAAGGGGCATTTTTCTGCCCGTTTGGCGATTTTTTATTGATTTTTTCCCCCTCTTTTTTGTTTTGCTCTACCTCTTTTATTTTGTCTGTTCAAAAACACAATGGTGCGTGGCTTTAACTTAAAGTCGTTGATTTAATGCAGAGAAAGGGAAATATTCAGTTTCTAAGGACTCTCAAACTTTGAAAGTCACCAAAACTCTGGCTGTCATTTTTTCTCTAATTTCAGCTGTGAAACAGTGTACCCCCAACCTCCTTCGATCTGAAATATGTCGACTTCTATTCAAGACGGATTAGTATTTTTTTTTCCATCGAAAGCAAGACAAGTGTTAAAGCTTTAAAATGGTACCAATAACTAACTCCACGTGCCCTAAACATGACGAGCGCTCGATTCCATAGCGTCGTGACACAAATTTATTGTCAATATTGCCTAAGATGGCCATACAGTGTTGAAGAGAAAAGCGAGCGTATTATAGGTAGGTGGTCGTCTTATACCGTGTTGCTATAATGTAAAGAAACGCAAGGGAGGTGATGGTGGGAAGTGGCCGTTTGCACAGGTTATTGTCTTATACAAGTGGTCGTTTGTACAGGTTATTGTCTTTTACAGGTGACCGTTTGTACAGGTGGTTGTCCTATACAAGTGGCCGTTTGTACAGGTGGTTGTCCTATACAAGTGGCCATTTGTACAGGTGGTTGTCTTATAGAAGTGGCCGTTAGAGCGTGTTCGAGTGTATCGCGTCAAGGCACGTCATGCATCATCCCCACGAAAGAATGGAACTCGCGTCTTCTGCGTGCACAAATATTGATATTTTTGCTGATATGGGTTGTAATTGTGAATGTTTAAAGCTGCTATTTGTATCATTTAGGAGGCGGGCTGCCTCGTGTCTGGCTGTCAGGGCCAAGCCAGGCTGAATGGGACGCAACGTAGGTGCTTACTTATGGAAAAACCCGGTGAAAAAAAAAATGATGATGAAACAATCCTTAAAATCCTGAATAACTTGTCTATAGAACGATAGAACGATAAATGTGAAGGACCAAAATATCATAAATTCACCGCCAACAAACGGCTCACCAATCAAAGGGGGGGGGGGGGGGGGGG